TTTCCTGCACCTTAATATATCAGACATTATCTTTGAGTGGTATAATGATCTGAGTGAAGACTTTAGTTAACAAAAAAATGATGTCAAATGAGATGTGAAGTGTAGTGTAGTGTAGTTATGGGCTTCGTGGCCGTTTTATGTTAAATCTTTCGTGTTATCTTATTGAGTTGTTTAAGTTAAATTTGATCCTGGCTTTACTTGATGTTGTGGTTCTGTGCATCATTCCTAAGGCTATAACTTCAAATTAGTCTCAACAATGTAGCCTAGTGACACGGTTGCTTGGAAATACTGTAGTGCTTATGAATTCTGCCATTCTGGCGATTTCCTTTTTTTTTTTTTTTTTTTTTTTTTGTGTCTCCCTGATCGTCCCCAACTTGTTTGGGACTAAAAGGCTTTGTTGTTGTTGTTGTTGTCTCCCTGATCATGAGCAATACTATTTTTGCTTCATTTATGTCATTCATTTGTATAAAGTTTCATTTTTGACAAGTCGCTGAATCATTTTCTTCCTAAAATGACCTTTTTTGAGTTTCTAACTGTTGCACATTCGTCTGAAGAATTGCTGAAGGGCATTTTTCTTGAGGTGAAAAATAAATTTGAGACAGCCATAGGAGTCATTCGGAAAGAGAAGATCACCATTGATCCTGATAACCCTGCTGCTGTGGCTGAATATGCCAAAGTCATGAAGACTGCTCGAGAAAAGTAAGGTCTTCTACTTTCTCTTGAATCTTTCTTACTAGTATCTTGATGTTTGCTATATTACTTTTCCAGTTTTCTGTTTGTAACCTCACAGAAAACAAATTAATTTTCTCAAATTGAAAATTACTGTTAGTAATTCTTGCCCAAAACGGCAAATCGTAAAATATCACCTGTTGAAGTAGACTTAGTTAAAGCTATCATTGGTAATTCTGGACCTTATCTATTGTTTTCCTCCTCTTTTTTTATGCCAATTATACCTGCAGGGCTAATCTTTTCTCGGAGTCGGAGAGGATCAAGTACACTATTGAATCTCGAACCCAAGATATACCTGATGCTAGATCCTATTTGCTGGCCTTGAAGGACATTAGGGTCAAGTACGTTATTATCTCTGACTTTGCTTTTATGTGTTGTATGACAAGTTTTTATTTCTGTCTTGAGTTTATGGATGAATATTGGGTTCAATCCCATGCTTCCTTCTTTCTGTCATATATCAGAGATTCAGAATGCATTATATATGCAATTGTTACTTTGGTTTTCTATGCTTAATAGTTTGAGATAAGAGTAATGCTATATGTACATAATATTGTACATAAGGGTGTACATAACACTCACATTGAGTGGGACCCACCAAAAATTAAAAATTAAATGGTCCCCACTCCATGTGAGTGTTATATACAACTCTATGTACATTTATTATGTACACATAGCATTACTCTTGAGATAATATGCTGTTGTTTTTCTGCATGAAACATCGTAAAATTTCTTTACCTTTCTATTTGATACTGTTTTAGAATATATGTGATGAATAAAAAAAAGGGATTATTTTAATATAAATTATAATTGAGCTTCCAACAACCCGACTCCTCCCATTATACATTTATTCAATTATATTTGGCAGGAGAGGCCTTGTTGATGAACTAGGTGCAGAGGCTATGATGATGGATGCACTGGACAAAGTGGAAAAGGAATTGAAAAAGCCACTTTTGAGAAATGATAAAAAGGGAATGGCCCTCCTTAAGGCAGAGTTCGACAAAGTCAACCAAAAGTAAGCTTTTCGAGGAAGTGAATATGTGATAATTGAAAAAGAATTCTGCATATTTTGACTGGTAATTGTTTGTTGTATGGTAATGATTCAGGAAATGTCTTTTGCTTTTGTTTCATTGACTCAGTCACATCATTTAGCATAAATCTTGGAGTTACTAAATTCATTTTCTCCTTCCTGCAAAAGATGGACAGCAGCAGTACTGTATCAGTTTGACCCAAAAAGATAAAATGTTGCAATATTAACTTCCCTTGTAGCCTTCATTTAATTTGCATGAATGTCAGCAAAATATAGTCATAGAAGTGTAATAATTGTTAACATGAAGGGTATATTAGGAAAATATTTATAAATCTACTCTTCCAACAATAACAGTAGATGTTTGCCTTCCTCGTGTGATTGTGGATGAACAAGTATATTTTTGTGTAACAATGAGTGTTTTTGGCAGTGAAATTGTTGTGCTTGCGCAATATAGTCAGGGTGCTTTCCGTTCTCTCTTACTTAATGTGTTTGTTACATAGGCTTGGCATTCGTAGAGAAGATCTGCCAAAATATGAGGAGCAATTGGAACTTAAAATTGCAAAAGCCCAACTGGAGGAGCTGAAGAAGGGTGCTGTTGAAGCCATGGAAACTCAGAAAAAACGGCATGCCTTCTCTTACTACCTTTTACGATTCTATTGTCTGTGTGTGTTTATGTGCATGTTTTTCATACAATGATGCTATGTAAACTTGAACTTCAACGTTGAAGAGAAATATATTTTGAACATTATGTCCCAACATTTTGCAGGGATGAGTTCAAGGATGAAGAACTGCCTGATGTGAAGTCATTAGACATCCGTAACTTCATCTAAAACTGAAATTATGCAGCTTATCTCGGGTACTTGTTTTGCCATTTTATGTCGATTGAGCTTTTTGCGAATTTCTTCCTATGTTTGAAAGGCGACATTTTGCTGCTGACAGATTGAAGAATACCGAAAACACTGGATAGATTGTCGTTTTATTAATAATGATGCCGAAAAATTGCCTAGATGCTTTGGAGACTTTGATAGTTTGATTTATCCAAATCGACATCCTTCTTGTTTGATGCAGTATGTCACTGAAAGAAGCAATAATTGTGCCCTATTTTGAGCTTTGATATTCACTTTGCAGTTTGCACTACTGCCTGAAATATATGAGTTTCTTTTCTCTTAAACGATGCATTTCACGTGTGATTTAGTTCCTCTGTTTATACTGAAAGAAGTGTATCCTTGTGATCTACAACATAAGCAGATTTTCAGGTTAAAAAGACCGTCATTGAACTAAAAAAAAAAATGTCTTGTTTTTCTGGAAATGGTTTTTTTTTT